CGGCCTGACTAAAGTGCACCTACCGTAGCACCATTTCTGTCATATAGTCAATGCCACTTTACCGTAAATGTTCCTGTGTGTGTGTGTCACGGCACAAGACGGGCACCATCCCTGTGGTGGTGATCTCTGTGGTTCCACAGAGGAGCGGTTCGTGGCGGTGGAGGAGGGAAGCAAAGCGTATGAGATGTGTTCTGAGGTGGAAATAGAAGTCCCAGGTGGAGGTGCGTTGTGTGAGTTTTATTTTCAAACTTAAGACAACCTTGTGTTTTTTTTTGCTACTTATTTTATTACCTATACATCACACCCATTATTTAGAGATATAATTTTGACTTAAGAAAAAATAAGTTACCTTGGGCAGACCACATTAGCTGGAAGAGCTGATGGTCAACGGATGAGATTGGTGACAAAATTGTATCCAAAAGAGCAAACGTGCCCAAGAGAATGACAACCATGGAGATGGAGCTGTGACATTGGCTCTTGTGTGGGAGTGAGGTGGGTATTGTGGGACCATGGCAGATGGTCACGGCGTCTTTCGGATCTCTTTTCCTGTGAGGGAAGTGAGCACAGGGCAGACAGTACAGTGAGGATAGATAATAAAGGCACAAGTATATGGAGGATTGTGTAAGATCGGAAAGTTTTCACTTTCTTGTACACTTATACCATGATCCACGATAATCTGAGTGTACTGCGCTTGCTTCTACAGGTTCAGGAGAGAACGTCTCGGATATAGGAGGCACCTTGAGCTACGAGCAGGTGGAGGAGTCGCAAGAAAGCCTGGCTCCAGAAGAGAACCTCGATGCTGATGTAGTTGGGATGGGGTCCACAGAGGTACAAGGCTTACAGAAAGACCTTCCGCAAGAAACTCATCCAGCAAAAGCTTTTGAGGCAACCGAAGATGATTGTACAATGTCTGGAGAGACTGAGAACGTGGTGACAGGGACTGCACTTGTAAAATATGTCCATGCTGGAGAGGACGTTGTGGAGTTTGTACACACAGATGGCTCGAAAGAAGATCCATTTCCCATGGAACATCTTCAGGCTGGTGAAACCTGCTTAAGGTCTGAGGAGATGGATATCTCACAGGCACAGCTGACCCTAGAGATGCATCGCAAGGCTGAAGATGCTGTATGTTACGGAGAAATGGAGAATGTCAAAGAAGATAAAGCTGAAGTAAAGGACCCGCATGCTGGAGAAGTCTTCTATACGACTAATAATATGGAGAACTCGCAGACAGAGCCAGCTCCACTATATCTCTATACCGAAGAAGTAGCCATGGAGTCTGGAGAGGTGCAGGACTTCCAAAAAGCTCTAGTACCTTTGAAGGACTGCCAGGCTGAACAACATTGCCTCATAGCTGGAGAGATGGAAAACTTGCAGGCAGAGCTGGCTGCAGGAGATCCCCAAACAGGAGGAGCTGGTACGGCATCTAAAGACTTTAAAGATTTGGAACAAGCGTCAACTGTAGAAGAGGACTTGTGGGCTGGAAAAAACAGCTTCAGACCTGAAGAGGTGCAACAGGATGCAGGAGTGGCTCCTGAGGCTGGAGGATCTTACATTGGGCCTGAAGACTTCTCAATTGGAGAGGCAGGGCAGCAGAGTGCGCAATTGCTGGTCAAGACCAATATTTGTTCGGGGAATGGAAACAATGGTATGTTAGTTTCACACACACAATTTAAGCATCTAAATTTAATTCCTTAATAAAACTGCATTGGGTTTGACAAGACGTGTCTCCCAAGTCCGACATGTCACTTCTTGCAAGGTAAGTCGGTAGAACACAGAGTTGCACAATTGCAGTGGATTTTCCAGGCATAGTGGCGTACGCTTTTAATCCAGCAATTTGGAGGCAAGGTTTGGTGGAACAAGCACTCGTCATTGTGTGATGTGAGACTTATGAACCCGCTGGGCTATAAAGTGGCCAGCAGATAGTAGCACATCAAGTCTGTTCATGAACCCATCTGTGCAGAACGGCCAGTTTTATCCATTGAAATGCTTGGGCTTTCTCAGCGAACCCTTTGTTTCCTGCATCTTACTAACACAGCTGTGTCTCAATGTCATCTGATCGCTGCTGCAAAAATAAGAAAATTAGTGGGAGAATCTTACCCATGCTGGCTTGCGCACCTAGTGTCCGTCTTAGTTATACACGAAACCCTTGCCCATCGTGGCATGGGTTATGTTCTGGAATTAGCTGCAATCGGCAAAACTCAGGCAAATGGGAAAACTAGGATTTGGTTCACCGTTTGTAATACGACACCCACCCCTCCTTTATTTTACTTTGCCCTATATTAACCTAAACATGAAACCGAACGTAATTTAACGTAATATATGATTAAGATGTTCTATAGTGTTAGTGTAACTCGTACAGTAAATGTATAGAATGTGAAACATAATACAGTGTACTGCGCTATACACGTATACCTAAAAATTAATCTGAAAATAACATGGTTAATTAAGCATCACTCACCTTTCACAAGTCGCTCTAGTAATTCAACTTTCTCAGAGACATCACCTGCCGCTGCTTCTTTTCACTATATTCACAACCACTTAATTTTATTTTAGGGGCCACTGCAAAATAACTAAGGGCACTGATAAAGTAAGAAAAATTGTGCGGCTCAACCCCCACTGCCTTACTGGATGCTGGAAGCACGTGAACTGGGACCCGCAATGGACTTCACGAGAGACGAGATGGAGACAAGACGGCGTGTGTGTACTTCCGTGGCAGCATCATCTCGAGTAGCACAGTTACGATGCGCACAGGAATCTCGCAGACAGCCGTGAATGGTCAAGTGACAGGGGCGTGATTGGCGAAGTGTACCTCAATAAATTTTCCGCGAATAGTCAAATCCGCAATGGAAAAACCCGCAATGGGAAAAGTTTTGGTGTATATTAATTTTGCCTATGGCTTCCCCTCTCTTTCCACGTGGCAGGTTCTGCACCTCGTGCTTTTGCAGAAAGGTCATATATTGAAGAGACTGAAAAGGTGGATGCTGGGGAGATGGTCTCCATAGACTCCTCTTCATTGTCCTTCCAAAGTGAGTTAGCTGGGTCATCTGTAGGTTGCAAAGTGAAGACTCGAAAGTGTGTTAAGTGCACGGGGAATTTTGCATTCTCAGGCCACCTAGAGAGGAGGTGCACTGACAGGCATTTGTGTACATGTGAGACATTCAGAAAAGACTTGAAGAGGCCTCGTAACCTGGCCTGGCATCGGAAAAGCCACTTGATGACGAGTTCACCCTCTTTTGAGTCTCATGGTAAGGAGTTGCCTGAGAGTCACAAGAAGAGTGATAGGGGGAAAAAGATGTTGGCATGTGCAAAGGAATTGGGGATAAAATCGAGCCTCGTCTCTCAATTGAGAATCCACATTGGGGAATGGCCTTTAAAATGCAGCCATTGTGGGAAAGGCTTCATGATCCCATCTGTGCTGAAGATTCATGAGCGGACGCACACCGGTGAGAGGCCGTACATGTGCGCGGTGTGCGGGAAGGCCTTCGCGCAGAGAAGCACCCTCGGCAGCCACGCAGCGACGCACAGCACGACGCAGGCCTTCGTGTGCGAGGAGTGCGGCAAGAGCTTTGCGCGCGCGACGGGGCTGGCCGCTCACCGGAGAACCCACACGGGCGGCTGGCGCCTCGAGTGCGGCTTCTGCGGCAAAGGCTTCTCCAACGCGGCGCTGCTTAAGACCCACGAGCGCAAGCACACTGGCGAGCGTCCCTTCGAGTGCGACGCGTGCGGCAAGGGCTTCAAGACGAAGGGCACCCTCAAGGAACACGGACTGACGCACACGGGGGAGCGTGGCCACGCGTGCGCGCAGTGCGGGCGCCGCTTCTCGCAGCGCTCTGCCATGAAGCGGCACCTGCTGACCCACAGCGGCGAACGACCGTACGTGTGCGCGGAGTGCGGGAGGAGTTTCAGGCAGTCGCGCAGTCTGGCCGTGCACCGGCGCACGCACACGGGGGAGCGGCCGTATCCGTGCGACGAGTGTGGGAAGAGGTTCCGGGCGTCGAAGACTCTGGTAAAACATCGACGCTTACATGCGAGGGGGAGCAGCTTTGCTCTAGTAGAGAGGCAGGGTGAGGCGGTAGTGCCTGAACATATGGCACGTTCTGAAGAAGAGGAGCTTTTCTCACACCCAGATCACACGTAATGGACTTCTCCCAGCAACTTTGACACCAGATCAGGCTCGTCTACTTCAAGGAAAAAGCCTGCGTATGCCTGGCTTGGTATTTGAGTGATAACCATAGAGAGAAGTCTCTCATCTTGATACACTAAACATATGCAACACAAACACGTGCAGTGCAACAACACGGAATACAATTAGTATGCTGGTGGACTGTGGGTAATAAAATGTATAGACCAGAATTTACCTTGCTACCAAAAAATAAAGCAACATGTTCATCAGGAATACTGTTTCCCAGATGCGTGTATTTGAGCAGGACAGTGTTTTGTGTGTGTTTCTTTGTTTGTTTGTTTTGTTTACTTGCAGTGGCCTTTATCTGCCAAATTGTTCTGCTTTGTTGCTTAACCAGCTTCTCAAGGGTACCAAGTTGATGGTCTTGGCACTCATTAATGAGTGCAAGAAACAATATTCATTTGGTTTGTTGCTTTAATTTGGCATACACAAACTAAATAAAACGTTTAGTTTAATTGTTAGGTGAAAAACACTGCAAGGCAAATACAGACTGTCAGTGTGATTAAGAGGCTGTTGAAGGGACTTGAAAAGTCATGTGATTACATTTGTCAGTGGCCATTCTCACATAAGGTGCCAGAATTCATGGCAAGAGTTATAATTGGAAACTTTGTTGACATTGCAACAACTGGGATCTCAGAGAAGGAATTGGTGATGAGATCGCGTCTAAAAGCACTGGCTCTGATGACCTAACATCGACCTTAATTTGCATGTCCTTTATTGGCACTGTACTGTGTGGGTTTATTTATGTAGTTGGCCTCTGCCAGCCAGGCTAATTTAGGCACAGACTTGGTCCAGTTATTGCCCGACTTTGTAATCTTGCAGAGGCTGGTGTCGGCTGTGGGGTGAGTTCCATGCAGACTTTGCATGTGCTCTTAGGGTCAACCATTGTTTTCATGTGTATATATGCATGTGTGTAGGTCGAATCAGCCTTAAATGAGTCCGGGGTGTGGTGTGTAAACATCAGTACTGAGTAGACGTGCAACCAGGCGTGGCGTTAGCCACAACAACCCCTTAATGGTTCGCCGTGCTGGCTTGAGGTGCTCACTAAAAGCACTTGCCCCAACAGCATGTGCAGGTTGCACGAGTGATCTTTGTGTATACTTATATTGTGTCCATGTTTGTGAGTGGGATTGGGAAAGAAGGAGGACTAGGTCCCCGCTGCCACCACCCCTGTCAAGAATTAAATGAATAAAACCACACATAATCATGGTAGTGGTGATGATGGTAATGGTATTTATTGTATGTAGAACTTCTTTCGCACCATACGTAGCCAACCGTGCTAATCGGAGGTGCGGGGGAAGGACGACAAACTAAACACAAACTGCAGTTATAAAGAAATGAGTTTTCAATCTAGATTTAAAAGTGCATCGCTTCAGTGGCTTCCTAATATCGGGAGGAAGAGCATTCCAAACGGCCGCAGAAGCGCATCTGAAAGCGCGCATTCCAGTGACCGTCTTTGTTCGATGATTAGCCAGAAGCCGCTGCGAGGATGACCGGAGTTCGCGGGATGGTTTATGCTCATTGAGATCAGCAAGGCATTGTGGTTCATTTGTGGGAAGCACTTTGTGTGTAATGAGAACTTTGCGTAATTGTAGCGGTGCTTATTATGGTGACGATATTGGTGCATATGGTGGTATTGATCAACGGTAGTTATGGGTATTATTCCTTTCTTACTTAATGCCATCCAGTTCTTGTGCCTCTCGCTGGAGCTGGTGTATACTTATGAATGCAAGTGGTGTGTATGTGTGCGTGGTGTTTCTGTCATTACACTCCACCTGACTAGTCATGTGACGTTCCTTTTGTTTCTGGAGATTGTGTTTAGTGCCAAATGCACACTTTGCCCAAACACAATGACTTTTAGATTTGTCCAATTGTAATGATGAACATTGGCACATTTTCTCCAAACACAGTAAAATCTGGCCGCACCTGAATTAGTCCTTGAATTTTGCACGAGGAGATCTGTGGCTTAGGGATATGAACAGGGGGCTAATAATCCTACATTCAAGTATATGTAAAATGAATAGGGTACTGTAAGTGGAATCAATAATCATAGGCAGAGGAAGAAAGGAAAGTTTTCAATCGTAACTTTAAACGGAGGAAGGAGTTGGCATACAGACGACGAGACGGGCAGAAAAGTGTTAACCTTATCGGCTCCATGGTGGCGAGATGCTAACTACCTCGCCTGGTATATTGGAGTTTGTGGGTTCGACCCCGACGCCTGTACATTTGAAGTTTGCATGTTCTTCCCGTAGTCGCGTGGATGTTTCTCCCGGTCCTCCGGTGATTCCCTCCACATTTAGAAATATGCGTTTCGAGTGTTTGGCCGCTGTAAATTTCCACACGATAAGCCGCTTCGTTGAGCTATTATTCGTGACCAGGTCCCTTCTGAAAATGAGCTATCTCGCTCAGTGGGCATTACCTGGTAGTAATAAATTGGTTTCACTAAAAATACTGACAGATGGCTTTTGTGACTGGAGCAGAGGTTATAAGGAGGAAAACAAAGTGAGGTAGGGGTAGATGGCAGGAGCATTTATATATATAAAATCGCGAATCTGTCTGTCTGTGGGTCGCCGGACCATACGCAGTTTCATTGGACGGCGGTTGCCCCTGGCAACGGGTAGCGACGCCTTCGCCGCTTTCATTGGACGGCGGTTGCCCCTGGCAACGGGTAGCGACGCCTTCGCCGCGGGGTGGACGCCATTTTTAATTCCCGTTAAAAATAAGCGCACGCATTAACACGCGACTGAGGTAAATTCATCAAAGTTTCACGTCCTCTTCATTCCCCCCCCACCACAATGTGTGCAATTACTATTATAGGGTCGGTAGATTATAAAATTATAGCGATTAGACAGTATTATTGTAGCGCGGGGGGGGGGGGGGGAACGTCACCCGTACCCAGCCTCAGCCGGGTGGGCAATTTAGGCGAGGCCGGAGGCTCTGCACGGTGCTAGGCCTCGACACCCACCACGCGACTCTGAGGTAAATTCATCAAAGTTTCACGTCCTCTACAGAGTGGTGAGGGAGGGAGAGTGGTGAGGGAGGGAGAGTGGTGAGGGAGGGAGAGTGGTGAGGGAGGGACTCAGCCTCAAAACGAGTAACTGGTGTGGCGTATTAACATCGCCACTGGGGAGACAAAGGCGGCCGGGCGTGGTGGATACAAGTCCCGGGCGAAGCCGGGTAGTACAGCTAGTGTCCATATAAATTATGGAAGAACATTGCTGTAAGAGAGTTCTGAGGATTTGATATTATGGTCCCATTCCAAAGGCAGAAGAGAGAAGTTTGGCAGCAGCATTCAGGATCATTGAAATGTTTCGACGATGTATTTGGTGTAGCTGTAGATGATGTTAAAATAGTCAATGGGAAAGATGGCGAAGGCATGGATAAGGGTCTTGGCAGCGGATAGGGAAAGGGAGTGCCAGGTGATGGCACATGCTGTGTAGTTCGGGGGCAGTTTTTGCCCAACTTCCTAGCAACCTTTAAAACGTCTTCTTGTGATGATTGGGTAGTCAACAATATGCTTTCCAAAATCTGTCGAGGTGGCACAGTGGTTAGACCACATGGCTTGCAAATGGAAGGTTTTTTATTTTAAAATCCTGGTTGAGGAATCAACTAAATTCTTCATCCCATGGGAGGATGAAATAATGAGTACCACTTTGTGGGAAGTCGGAACTTTTTCTATAACATCTTTATAAGGATTCTAGAATTTTCACCGTTGGCTTGGGGCCATAAACAGATAAGCACCCCACCCCCTTGCTTATTGGTGTAGACATCTCATTTGATTCTCACGTCCTGTATCATAGTTCACCCTGAAAATTAATCCTAACTTGACAAATTATTACAGTTATAACCGCAGGCATGGCAAGGAAGACGGGGATGGGTGGTGTCATGCCTCGTCATGAAGAGGAAGATGAAGAAGGCGCAAATCCGCCGGGCATGATTGAGCTTAAGAAGCTGCTGCGCTCAGGAGGCGCTCGATACGAACACATGGACGAGGTGTTTCCTGATGTCTACATTGGCAATGAGTAAGGAGCAAAGCGCATGGCTTGGTCCCAAAGTAGGGCATTCAACAGTCCCATGTCCACTGTGGGTGCAACGTGGCAATGTCTCGGGCCACAAAAAAAAACACTGGTTTTATTGTCAAAACACGGATCAATTCCCAGGTTATTAAAGTGCACGAATATCCACCTGCTTGCTAATTATACTGACAGAATAGTTTTTTTTTAACTATGGCCATTAAAGGGTCATCTGGTGGAATAGCGCAACACTACAGTTGCACACGTGAATAAACAACCACGATTGTGGCAACTGCTGAAATTGCAAGCATGTGGAAGCTCACCTCGGTTCACGAGACGATTCCACCTTCCTAACACATTTTCCACTGGCGCATCCGAGCCGTGCCTTGTGCCGGACTCTGTGAGCCCAAAGCTTGTGTGACAGGCGTGTAGCATTAACTGGATGAATTATCACCAAAGTTGTAGTCCCCGTTTGAAGAATTCACTTAGAGGTAGTCCCTCTGCAGGATCGGTCTCCACTGCCACGTAGCTCCACCCCACTGGGCAGTCTTAGCAAGGGACACGCCCACCACCTCTGGTTTTGGCCAGACTGCAGAGAGGTGCGCTGTGTCTCAGCTTGTACTGCATTGATGTCCAGGCTTCGGAGTTTTTATTTATTTCAGCCTCATTCAGTGTATGACTGAACTCCAGCCTGTTGAGCCCCGTTTCAGGATTCTCCTTGCGACAATGCACGGCCAGATGTTTCAAGATAAATGGGGACAGCTCATAATCATGTTCTGCTGACCCAGGAAATGCCAAGAGTCAGTGTCCGTATTCGATATGCCAATGAGGCTTTGCGAGCTTGGCCTGCTGCTCCTGTCTCCCGACTGCAGCCGTGTGTCCCAGATGTTTTAAATGAAAAACATTTTTAAACAACGTTAAGTGCGTGAATGTATGTTGAACTTCTTTTGCACCGTACATAGCCAACCGTGCTAATCGGAGGTGTGAATGTGCTAGGTTCGGCTTTTTACATTAATAATTTGTATTCAAATGTATGACTATGTAATGTTAAAATATGGCTGAGAAGTTGCGACGCCGTAGAGTGAGTGACATGGCACATCTCTGTGCTGGGGTAACCCCTTGAGATCGTTGTGAGGTTGGTTCAGTTAAATCGGGGGTCACAATACTTCTGAATCCAGCCCTCGAGAAAAACGAATCGAGAACTGCACCACCAAAGTGGGCCGCCATGCGGACAGAGAGTTCTCAAACTCGGCCCGGTACGAGTTCGACAGTTCCATTAAAACCAAGCTCATTCGTTGATACACCCAATCCGTGACTCAGGAATGCAGCTCACGACCTACGGCGCCTCGGCTCCATGGGCTTTACGCACGTCCTGAATGCGGCGCATGGCTCTGGCTGCCCGGCCGTGGGGCCCGAGTATTACGCACGTGTGGGTGATGTCGCCTACCTGGGCCTGCCCGCCGATGACTTCCCCAGCTACGATATGCGTCCTCACCTGGTGCCAGCATCGGACTTCATCCACGCAGCTCTACAAGCGCACGGTGAAATGCAAAAAGTTTCGGATGTTGCCAAAATGTCACCATCGCATATTTCCATCGTTGTCCTCTGCGCTGTGCGTCTCGTATTCAAACGCGAGTGCTCGTCCACTGAGCGATTCACTGCTCACTGCACCGCGTATGTCTCTCGCCAGGTCGCATGCTCGTGCACTGCGTGATTCACTGCTCACTGCACCGCGTGCGTCTCTCGCCAGGTCGCGTGCTCGTCCACTGCGTGATGGGCCGCAGCCGCTCGGCATCCCTCGTCCTCGCCTACCTCATGCTGCGCGTGGGCCTTCGCCTCCGCGCTGCCGTGCGTGCCCTGCTCGCCCACCGCTCCATCTTCCCCAACGACGGCTTCCTCCGCCAGCTGATCGACCTGGACCGGGAACTGCTGTGCCAACGTCGACAGCCTGACTCCGTGTCACATGGGGAAGCGCTCGGGATTTAGCTCGAGATTGTGGTACAAGAGCAGTTTCCCAACGCAGAAAGTTCAGTGAGAACAATCCGCCAGCACTATTGAGATCCTGCATTCAATCCCCATGGTTCAGCGTAGGATGAATGAATTCAGTTTAATGGCACCGATGCAAAACTGTCAAGATCCTGGCTCGGAGCTGTCTTTCTCTCGTGGGGCTTCTAATTGTAATTTCAGACATGAATTCACCACTGCTGATATCCTGAGTTAAAGTCGTGGGGATCAGCATGAATTTGTGGCTCAGGGGTGAATTAATTCATAGGGCTAGCTGAAGATCTGGGTAATAGTCTGCGGTTGAGTGATACAGGCCTGTGCGCAGTGCTCGGGGGATGGTGGATCGTGCAAGCCTCACAGACAAATTCCACTGAAGCCGTGGGACTCCTCACCTGGAATGCTGTTGAATGGATATCGGTGAGGGGCCCACGGATAGAAAATAAGTGAAGGAATTGCACTTTTAATTTGTGGACTCGCTGTGATTTTGTTCATGTAAATATACATTTGTTTGGTTTAATTTCAACTGTAAAGCCTAATCTGACAATAAGTTATTGTGTGTGTATATTGAGCCTTTCTGTGAGCTCCAGTTGTGTGTCGCCTGTGGTTTCTGGGCCCAACCATCACCCAAAACACCTAGACGGACCACGACTGTGAAGACACGTTCCCGTTTAGGCTCAGAAATAAAGCTCACACCACAAAATACAAAAACAATAATTTACGAATCTTATCACGACACTACATTTCAGACAAGTATTCCATCGCCGCAGAGATAACATAGTTACAGCCAAAGTTTTGTTTTATATATAGACAAGCAAAGGTCTAACCACTTGTTCCTCTGCCCAGAGTCTAATGGTTGAAACATTTTAGCAGTTAATATTCTTTAAGAATGTGGGCAAAAGTGTGAGATGTCATTTATTGATTTCCTCTGTGGTCCAGACACTTCCTACATGATCAGGGTCACGTAATCATTTTTCAATTAACCATAAACTGAGGTTATAAGAACAATGCTGACGTAGGATTATCAATATTCATTGACATAACAAAAGCTCAGAAGGCAAAAGAAAGCACCCTATAAATAAACATGACGATACATAACACAATCAGACTACATTGACAACGTTTATTGTTTGAGAACCAGTTGAACATATGATCCAAATTTGATCCAAGAATAATGTTTAGCCTTGCTGAGGTAGACACATGGAGTGCATAGTATCATACGCATAGATAGTGCCCTAAAAGCTGATCAGTAATGAAAGTTAAGAGGTCATCAAGTGGATGCCAGCGCACTTTGCCATTGCTTCCTTCCATCCGCTACATCACGAAGTTGCTACAAAGTTGACACCTGATCTCTAGGGTCTGCCCGCACAGTGCCCTGCTGCATGGCTTTAGTGTTCCCCCTTCGTTACGGAGCCACCCCTCCACGAAGATTCAGTAAAAGTGTCACGATTCCTATCATGAAGCACTCCATTGTTGTGTGTGGTGCATCGCTCGTGGTGCGTAAATAGTAAATATTTACAAATCCTAGCACGATACACACATTGGAAATATTAAAATTAATCGCCGAGTCTCCATTCCTGCTTGTTATGCTGTCAACGTATCATTTAAGGGACACTGACATTGTCCGTACAGTAACCTGCCATCTGTATGTAACCCTTCCTCTTGGTCGCAAGAGGTAATGATGGTAGGTGAGTAAACTGTTTTTAATCCTCTCTGGAAAGATCCAGATTTCTTTTGTCCGAAGTGAAAATCCTCTTGCTGATTATGATCGCGAATGCTCGTCGGAATGGTCGGTTAAAGAGTGCGTAGAGCACGGGGTTGAAGCCGGAGTTGATGTATCCCAGCCACACGACGACGCTCCACACCTCCCCACTTGTCTGGAAGTGGACGAACACGTCCACCAGGCTCACCACGATGTACGGCAGCCAGCACAGAAAGAAGGCCCCCATGATGAGGCCCAGTGTCTTGGTGGCATTGTGCTCCCGCTTGAGGGCGTTGCCATCCACCTGCTGTTGGTGCTGCGTAGTGAACCCTCCTCGACTGATCGCGCGCGACCTTGTAGATCTTCCCATACGCCACCCCCATGATGGACATGGGCACCATGAAGGCACACACCGTGTCCAGAATCACAAAGGTAGTGTTCTTGAACATGACGCAGCTGTCGGGGCAGGTCATGCTCGCCACGATCTCCTCGATGCCGATGATGTTCCAGCCGAGCATTATGGGCGCCACGTAGATGACAGGAGCCACCCAGCAGCCGCCCAGCATCACGACCACCTTGGCCCTGTTCACCCGTTGCGTGTAGCACAGCGGGTGGCAGATGGCATTGTAGCGGTCGTATGCGATGCAGCTGATGTGAACGATGGACGCCGTGGAGAAGATGTAGTCGAGGCTCGTGTGAATCTTGCAGAACCATCGGCCGAAGAACCAGCAATTGTGCACGGTCTTGAGCATGCTGAAGGGCATGATGAGAACGCCCACGAGGAAGTCGGCGAGCGCCAGGGATAGCGTGAAGACGTTCATGCGTGACTGCAACTCTCGAAAATAGGCAATGGACGCGATGACCAGCGTATTGCCAACAGCGATGGCCACTATGCAGATGACGAGCGCAGTCTGTACGATAACGCTGCTCGCGTAGGACATCTCGGGCGGGGGACACATCAGCTGGAAGGCGTTGAGAACGCAGCTACCGGAGGAGGTATTGGTGAGGTTGGCGATGTTGGTGAAGTTTGGCTCCATCGTGCTCTGTGCCATTGTCTAATGTTACATGCAGCTCACACGTGGTGTAGCACAGAGTGGAGAAGCATTGGCGCGATGTTCAGGACCTGCTGAAGCTGAGTGCACTCGCCGCTGGATGAAGTTCTGTGAATGATTCTCAGTCGTGCCCCAGGGGGCTAATTCGTCATGTCAAAGCGCTGTGCCAGCACTGCTGAGATCTTGGGTTGAAATTTGGATTTCAGCCGCCCATTAATTAAACTGGGTTCTCAACTGTATCAAGGTGCGACAGGGGACCTTGCCCAGTCAACAATGACTGCACAAAGTATCCATATTGTTAAATGTTTTCGCTTTTAAAATGATAATTTTGTTTCATTTTTCAGTTTTACGTTGTTTAGAAATGCATATTACGTGAAATGAACACCCTTGGCAGGAGTACGTTAAAATTATACCCTAGTGTTGAAAAGAGGTATTTTGAATTGACTTCAGAATGTGTTCTTTGACGTGAGAGGATACACTGCGCACTGCAAGAATAAATTAAAAAAACGACATGATGACATGAGAACAATTGGAAGCTATGATGAAGAAAAGAGCAAAAATAAAATTATGATCGTTCGAGAATAGGAAGAGCGACACGACGACCAGCAACGTTTCATACGACATGCGTATGGTCGCAGCTGATTGGAATATTGGCTCGGTTAACACGCAAGCTTTCGCGACCAATATTTTCCATAGTAAGAGGTTTTTTTTTGGGTTAGAGCGCGTAAATATAATGCGCCGTTAAACCACCATCCGACATAGCCGATTGGTGGTAAGGTTTGTCACGTGAACAAAATATGGCAATTATTTGCTAGTTCAGCACACCGGTGTGTTGGAGAGTAAACCCACAACATTGATAATTGGAGTACTGTGACGTTTCGACCGGTAATTCTCACCAGCTTCATCAGGCGACAGCGAGAATTGTGGAGAAATCCTCCTGTCACGGTCTTAAAAACAGGTGGGCTAAATGTGATGTCGTCACAGTGAGCCAATCAGGTGCGAAACCCAGATGGGGGGGGGGCGGGGTTAATGTCGTAATATAAATTACAATGGACATCTAGAATTATTGGATGGGTTATTCACAGTTAATGAACATACATTATGGACGTACATTCTTCTGTTTTGTGGGCCCCAAACATTGAAATACCTATTATTGGCTGCTCAAAGTTAATCCCCATCGACGTATTAAAAACAGAACGGTTATCAACATGACTAACATTGAAGAGACCAACAATAGTCGTGTCGATGAGATAATTGGTGAAGTGGATTCAGCAGTTCGACGTCTCTCACATAATCAAGCTGAAATTACTAGGCATTAGGTTGCTAAAACATTATTTGGGTCTTTCGGTAAAGCCACGTAGATAGGTACAAATAAATAAAAATAATAAAAATAAAATAAACAAAAAAACTACGACGTTTCGATCACAACACAATATGATCGTCATCAGGAGGAAAGAGGGGGGAAGCTGCTGAATTTATTGCCGAGTTTGTACCCATCTTCTCGGTTGAAATTGTGTCTGTGTCTGTATATATGGATGGCTTCATGAACGAATTGGAAATACGTCATCAACCAGTTTAAGTCTTAACTGGCTGTGATGTTCCCATCCTGCCACCTTCCGATGTTTATTTTGTATTTTTCCCCCGTGGCTTCGGCTCTCTGATTTCACATTAACAGGTTGAATTTCTCGCGCTAACGTGGCCACCTCTGGACGCCAACCTCTGCGTCACGGTGGCTCTGCGATCTCACATTAACATGCTAATCTCTCACATTAACATGCTAATTTCTCACATTAACATCACTAGCCCCGCCCACTTCGTTTATGACCCTAGGACTCCACCATATAAAACAGTCTGCATTCAGCAGCTTTTCCCCTCTTTCCACTGATGATGATCGCTTGTGTTGTGATCGAAACGTCGTAGTTATTTGTTTATTTTATATGTATTATTTTTATTAATTTGTACCTATCTACGTGACTTTACCGAAAGACCCAAAGAATATGAATTCCTGCCGTCACAAAAGCTTTAAATGAAGAGTTGCTAAAATAATTGAGGGGTAAATTGACAAAAACAAATATTAGTCTCATTGAGGCAAAAGCCTTAAGGAAATTGGAAACAAATAAATATATCAAAATTTTTGCTTATGATAAGGGGCGATCAACTGTTGTGATGGCTCGTGATGATTAAAATTATACAATCAGAGATTTACTGCATGAAGGTACCTACCTTTAAATTAAACGACACCCAACCAATGCATTGGAACGTAAGACGACTGCAATCATTGCCAAGTCATTCAATCCCAAGGAAGAGCAATACCTGTTGAAACAAAGGGCGTCAAAACCACAACGACTTTATGGGTTGCCAAAGATTCACAAACCTGATGTCCCATTAAGACCCATAGTACAATAGGCTCTGCCACATACAAATGAGCACAATACAAAACAAACAAATACAGCCCTATATCAGCAGGACCTTCGCATTCATTAAAACACTCTTCTAAATATAAGAATATATTGTAAATATAATTACAGATATTAAGCTTAACCCAAATGATATTCTGGTAAGTTTTGATGTAACTTATCTGTTCAAAAGGGTTCCGGTGAACGAGTCTATCAAATGACTCACTACTCTGGTAACTAAACAGGTTAACCCAAAGATATCCCACGATTAGCTGAGCATTGTCTAAACAACACCTATTTCTTACGTAAAGGTGATTTTTATAAACAAAAGGAAGGAAACAGCAATGGGCTCTCCTTTGCTCCTGCGTTTGTGAATCTGTACATGGAA